ACCAGAAATGCTTGTAATTGACTGCTGTAACTAAATATAATTTTTTTAGTATCACTTGAAATTTATTATTTCGTCTAAAAATTTCAATATCTACTCGAATTTTTTTCTCAAAAGTGGATAGGATTTCGAGGGTATGTCTAATGACCAAAAATGCTTGTAATTGATCGCTGTAACTAAATGTAATTTTTTTAGAGAAAAGAAATTGATATTCTCCATTTTCGTCTTATTTTGGCCTCTAGAATCTCCCATTAAAATTTTTCCCATGTTTGGCCGAACACCCTGTACATTTATGGAAGTAGAATCACCTAACTACGTTTTACAGAGCAGGTTATACCTCTTAATAAATTAATCCGTAAAATGCTCGAAGATTTGGGCGTGTAGCTTGGGAAACGGCGCGTCCACATTTTGTTATCGCGTAATGGCGCATAGTGAATAAATAGAATTACGTAGGTTACATCATAATATACGGAACTACTAGCACACTGTCGGCGTAGATACGTGGCCGACCTTCGTCACGTGTGTTTGCATGGCTACGACGAAAAGAATCTTGACTAAGTCGCAACGCCTTCACGATTTCTGGAATACGATCGCATACTGAAACATTTATGGTCGGAGTGGTCCAGAAAATAATGCTCGTTTAAAAACTTGCATTTAACAACTAAATAAACCGAGTAATTAGAAGAAATCTATGGGTTTGATACATAATACAATTGTATGATTAATTCTATTAGTGATCACTGTATTCGTACATTTCTGTGAATGCGAACACGTTATCGTAAATGAGATATAATAGTTTAAGAAAATGTTATTTGCTCCTCATCTGCTTAAAAAAAAAACCATTCAATATTTATAGGGTATATGGGATACATTGTACCGAGTAAAAAAGCTTTATTAAACATAGGTCGAAAGGTCAACCGTTTCTGAGATACAAACATTTTTGTTTGTTATTATCATAATTGACTTGCTACTGAATTTACGATGTTTACAGAAGATTTTCCATGCGTCCACCTTCCATTTCTACACACGCTTGGCATCTTCTTTTTACGGAATCGCGAACTCTCTCGAAAATTCCACATTTCTGTTGAATTGTTTGACAAGAACGGTGGATTCGGTTACGTAATTCTTCTAAGTCATTTATCGGTGAGGAATACACTTGACTTTTTAAATATCCCCATAAGAAGAAGTCCAAAGGGTTTAAATCGGTGGATCGAGGAGGCCATGCAACTGGTCCACCACGTCCAATCCACCTTCAACCGAACACCATGTTTAAATGGTCTCTCACATTACGTACAAAATGAGGTGGCGCCCCATCATGCATGTACCACATCGATAATCTTTCTGCCAAAGGTACATCATCCAAGTACTGAGGTCATGTATTCACCAAGAAGTTGAAATAAGCAACTAAGTCAATCATGATACTAGCAAACAAAAATGTTTGTATCTCAAAAACGGTTGACCTTTCGATCTATGTTTACTAAAGCTTTTTTACTCAGTACAGTGTATCCTATACATATCCCATATAAATATTGAATGGTTTGTTTTGAACAAAATTAAGTTAATTTGTTTCGAATAGCATTATATTATTTATGACGAGCATAGTGTACAAATTTCCATTAATTGATTCTCACGTTTACAGAAACGAATTAAATTTTCAGTTACTGAAACACAAGCTGTGGTTAAATGTTAGGAATAATTTCTCACTTTGAGCAGTTTAATATTTACGAGGTCATGGTAGACATTTTGAACATTCGATACATTAAATAAGTAACAAATAGAACTCCTTAATTTTAGGAATAGAATCGAGCTTCCATTCCCTTTCGATGGCGGAAACTGTTTTCAGACTCTACTTCGTTACGAGTAATGTATAGCGTTAATAATGTTAATTTCTTTTTAGCTGCCTGCTACTTGCGGAATTATTTTTATGTAATTTCACGGTGCTCGCTCGATAAAACCAATTAATACACAATCCCCTTATCAGGTATTTTAGAAAGTTATGATACTTTTTATTCAATAGCCCGGACATGTCGCAACTGCTTTTGCCACGGAAAGCGTAAATTTCTTACTAATAAGACACACGCAAAAAAACGATATAAGAACACACGTGTATTGCAATAGTACGATTAAGTGTACACCGAGGCACGATTAACTTTGAGATCGTGCCAATGTATCGCGGGGAAAAAGTTCGTGCCCAGTGAAGCACGGATAGAACAGTGCAATCAAACGCGTCGGCTCGTAAACAATCTGCCAAGAAACAAGTATAGATAGGGAATTAGCGAGATTGGAAATCGCTGACAGGCCCGATACTCTCGCTTTCGTCACTGTTACCAAGATTCGAGAGCAAATGGTTACCAACAAAGGGTCTAGACGAATAAGCATGGTAAAAGTACCCCCAAACCAAATTGAACGGGGTTCATACCACTCTTTAGTATATCTACTAAAGGGGTTATTACGGGGTGAAAATCATTTTTTGGTTTATCCTTAATATCTCCCATTCTGCTCAATTAAAAATTATGAAAAAAATCATGGTTATTCTATCGACTGATGTACATATTCGAGAATTTTTTCAGAATTTTTGGACGCAAATTCGATTTTTAAAAAATTCGAAAATATTTTGACCGACTATTTTTTGTCGAAGTTATCAAGTGACCACGTTTGTTTTTGTACAGTATAAAGCTCTCAAACGAATTACTAGTCTCTAATTTTTTCAGATTTTTCGAAGGGGTGGAACGTAGTCAAAAAAATAAAAAATGATTAAAAAGTGGTGAAAAAGCTTTATAGTTGTTATCGCAGTAGTAGGCCAAGTTGTTATCGCTCTAGGATTAGTTGTTACTAAGAAATAAGTGTTATCTTCTAATGAGACATTTCGTTCACTGATGAAGTAAAACACAATTTTATTAATAAGGTTTGTTTATTAACTTTGGATTAACACAAATATACAGGGTGTTCAGCCACCTCTGAGAAAAATTTTAATCAGAGATTTTAGAAGCCAAAATAGGACGAAAATCAAGAATATCAATTTCTTTACTGAGGCTTTGTTAAAAAGTTATTAAAAACTTTCAAATCGTTTTGAAAAAATTATTTTTGGTTGCGGGGCTCAATTACAATCATTTTTGGTCATTAGACATACCCCTGAAATCCTACCCACTTTCGAGAAAAAAATTCGGATAGGTACTGAAATTTTTAGACGAAATTAAAAAATTTCAAAACACACTAAAAAAATTACATTTAGTTGCAGGGGTTAAGCACAATCATTTTTAGTGATTAGACATACCTCCGAATTCTTATGCATTTTCGAGAAAAAATTCCTTACCGAAAATATAATGAGTAGCCGGAAATGTTAGCTCGAAAAATCTGTAAAACATCATAACTCCTGAACAGATTGGACGATTTTAATGTTTCAAAAAGCAAACAACGCGTATTTAAGTGAAGAATATGTAGAAATCGCAATAATATTCGAGAAGTTGATCCTTGATCCCGCAAAATGAAAAAAACCCCATAAAAATGATCCAATTTTCAAACGACCATAACTCCTACAATAGTGAATATATGTCAATGAAACTTTTTTCTGAACTAGAGCTCATGGGTACCTACAAAAACGTATTAGACAACTTTTCTATAGAGCGTCAAACAAATTTATTAAAAATGAAAAACAAATTCTTAAGAAAAATCGACAAGGGGGTGGGTTTGTGTTTTCGATGAAAAAAAAAAATTTCAAATCGTTCTGGAAAAATTATTTTCGGTTGCGGGGGTCAATTACAATCATTTTTGGTCATTAGACATACCCTCGAAATCCTACCTATTTTTGAGAAAAAAATTCGAGAAGGTGTGAAATTTTTCGACAAAATTAAAAAATTTTAAATCGTTCTGAAAAAATTATTTTCAGTTACGGGGGTCAATTGCAATCATTTTTGGTGATAACTTTATTAAAAAGAAAGAATAATCCACGGAAACTGATGAATCCTTTGTAGGAATTATCTAACTTCTCTATCACGCGTCTTATTGTCCTTTGTCCTTGTTCTTTTCTTTTCGTATATTCCTTTTCTCAAACGTTCTGGTATTCCGACAAGCAACTCGACTACCTTCAAAGGCCACATTCAAACGTCAACGCCAATCAGTCGCACGTTTGCGTTTTTGATGATATTCTTCACATCGATTAAATTTAAATATCGATTAAAGCCAACATAATTTTATTTATACAGCGTGAAGTGACATAAATGAAATTTTCTAATAGTCCACGAAATGTATTTTTGATAGAAAAAAATATGTTATTTTTGGCACAAACATTAATCTAATAAAATAAAAATAATAATCTAATATAATGCCTAGACTGCGGATATTTATGCATTTATGGGAAATTTAGATTGTCAAAAAGCTATAGAATACATTTAATATGCAAAACTATAACAAAAACTCAAGTAAGATAAGAATTATTGTATTTAGGGGTTGAAAGAACCCTCTACGAAGCTCTTATTTTATTAATTTTATTAATAAATATATGAATTTGCATAAAAATCCGCAGTCTAATAATGACAAATGAATAACAACTTTACTTAAACCTAATATAAATAACTTGTTAAACGAACCTATGTATTTTCTTATTTACAACCTACTATGACTTCTTCTTCGGTTTGTAACCTTTTTAATAAATCTGTAGAGTGTCGTGTGATAAATGTTTAAATCTCTGGCGATGATTTTTACATTCTGTCCTTCCAGCGCGGATTCAGCTGCCTTAGTAGAAATCACAACGCTATCTTTTTCCATTTTAAAGATGTAATCGTCGGAACAACTTACCCCCGGAACTTCTAGAGAAACTTGACTTTGTTTCCTTATTTCTTACTTGCATAAGGAAGCAGAGTAAAAATTTCCACAAATTCAAGGTGGTCGTATCTGAAAAATATATGTTACAATTCTTTGCCTATTCGTGCGTTTCTTTTCTTGAACAATCTGCAAGAAACGATCAATGATATTAACAATTTACGTGTTTCTTGTTTCGTTTTCAGAAATTCTTGTTCCACGGTTTACTTCGGCGACATAGGTACGGGATCGGGGGTGGGAGAAGTAACCGCCGTCTCGGCGGGGGGTGGCGAAGGTCTCAGCCTGACTCCAACCCCCGCCAGCAACAACAACACAACCACCGCCGCCCCCAGTACCAGCGGCGCTACCACCATTACCACCACCACCAACGACACCACCCCGCAGGTCGTAACGGGGGCTGAACCGCCCCAGCATATGGAGACACCCCCGACCATGGTCCCCGACCAGGCACCCGCCTCCGGCCATCACTACCACCGTCACCATCATCATCGTCATCATCACCAGCGCAGCGCATCCTCCACCCCCAGCCATGAGCCAACCACTACCGATACTTCTGACGAATTCGTCGCGGTTTCTAGGAAGCGGAAGCTCTCGTGCCAGTAAGTCTAATATTATTAGTATTAATTTTCGAAACTTTTTCATCAAACTTGCTTCCATTTGGAGGGATCGACTTTAGACGATTTATTAGGTGTAGAAATAAGTTCATTCCGACGAATTTCAATCGTTTGCTATGATCATTTGTTGCGAGTTAATCTTCTACTCGTTTAGCAATCTGCAATACCAATAAAATAAGAAACAAAACAATGTCACAATGCAGCAAACTTCACATCATAACCTCCTTGTTGTCGTTAACAATGTCGCCGACGAAGGAGCATATTCGGCATTGCCTCTTATTTGCTTTTAATCTCCGAAAATCCGTGAGTGAAGCCACTCAAATGGTATGTGAAGCATATGGTGAAGGGGCTATTACTGATAGAACTTGTAGAAGTTGGTATCAACGGTTTAAATTAGGCGATTTTAACGTGAAAGATCAGCCTCGTTCCGGATGTCCTAAAAAATTCGATACTGAAGAGTTGCAACAACTTTTGGACCAAGATTCAACACAAACCCAAAAACAACTGGCAAGCCACCTTAACGTCACACAAAAAGCAGTGTCTATACGTTTACACAAAATTGGAAAAATACAGAAATTCGGAAAATGGGTTCCGCACGAGTTATCCGGAGAAAACAAAATTCGTCGATACGAGACGGCTCTGAACTTACTAAGTCGCTTCAATAAAAAAGATTTCCTATATCAGATCATTACAGGTGATGAAAAATGGATATTGTATAGGAATCCTAAACGGAAAAGATCATGGGTAGACCCTGGCAAACCAGCAACATCAACCGCAAAGCCTGATATTCATGCAAAAAAGGTGTTACTGTGCATATGGTGGGACATGAAGGGAATTCTGTATTATGAAATGCTTAATCCAGGTGAGACAGTGACTGCAGACCGCTATCAACAGCAACTTCTGAAATTGAATGACGCGATCGAAAGAAAAAGGCCATTATCTGGACAACGCCGACGCAAAATATTGCTTCACGACAACGCTCGTCCGCATACGGCTGCAGGGACAAAAGAGGTGATTTTTTCATTAGGTTGAGAACTTCTTCCACATGCGGCGTACTCTCCTGACATGGCACCTTCAGACTACCACCTGTTTCGCTCGTTACAGCATCATGTAACTGATACAGAATTCAAAACTCTTGAAGACGTTCAAAAACACCTGGACGAATACATTGCCTCAAAGCCACCGAGTTTTTATCGTGAGGGAATTCGCAATTTACCCAAAAAGTGGCGAAATATCATAGAAAACAATGGCGAATATTTTGATGATTAACTTTCTATACTTTTTTCTAAATAAAATATTTACTTTACCAAAAAATCGGAAAGAACTTATTTCTACACCTAATATAAAGTAAAGAATTGTTATATAGTACACGCAGGGTGGTCTATGCAACTTGTGCACCTCTATAACTTCCAAAGTATGGGTTGCTGAAAAAAATTTTGTATAAAACAGTTGCATGGTTCGAAGGGGTAAATGTATTTGTCTTTTTTATGGGCGAGGACGTTTCGAAGATTCGAGGGTCGATTTTGTTTCTTTAAACGTAAGGCTATATTTTTTATACCAAAATAAGGAAGAATATCAAATTCTGAGTATAAAACACCAAATAACCAATGAGTAATTTCACTTTATTTCTTGAAAATTTCCCTCGTGTAATATCAAATTGGAGACTCAGTCTTATAGATTTCTGTAGACAATGAAAATTGTTAAGAAATAAAGTGAAATTTAGTTATTAGGTTCTGAATTTGATAATCTTTAAAAAGAGAAAGTTGACCTTCGAATCTTCGAAACTCCTTCGCCTATAAAAAAAAAAGGCAAATACATGTACCCCTTTCAACCATGCAACTTTTTTATACAAAATTTTGTCGAGCAATGCATACTTTGGAAGTTACAGTTATAATTATAATTAAAATATTAAATATGAATTAAATATAATTCTATGTTATACAGGATAGAACAGGAAGTGATTCTACGTGAAAAATAAAAACAAAATTTGGTATAACATTTTTTTTATCCGGGACTCCGTTTTCGAGTAAATTGACTTTATTGTTTGTTCACATCTGTGAACGATTTAGTTGTCATTCATTCTTCGTTCGATTTACTACATAATCCTTTTTACGATAGAAATTATAGTTTATTAGTATGTCATTAATTAAAAGAGGAAGACATTTTTAACAATATTTGTAAAATTGTATCGTAGTATTGCAATAGAAAGGAGTAATAAGGAATACAAAATTAATTATCAATAGAAACATTCTGTACTGCTTTAATAATGTCCGTAAACACTATTTCGGACGGAGAAAACTGCGATAGAAGTATAGGCGACAACTAAATTGTTCACAAAAGTGAATAAACTATAAAGTCGATTTTCTCGAAAATGGAGCCCCGGATAAAGAAATTTTATACAAAATATTTTTCTCATTTTTCCACGACGAATCACTCCCTGCTCGGTTGTACCAGGATTTTCGATCCATCCTGTACATAGATATATTAAAGATTGATATTTTAAAGGAATATCTTCAAGCTAGTGCAAATAAAATGCAACTACACGTCGATTATATTATTTTACAAAGATAATGAATCCTACAAGAGAATGGATCCTGTATAGTCAGAAATTCCTCGACAGTCTCCAAACATAAATGTCATATTAATAATAATAATCAAAATAATCAGGGTACTTGGGTATGGAAGACTACTTGGGGCCAATACTAACAGTTTGACTTTGAAATATCCTAAGTCAAAAAGGATTATGAAACAAAATTTTTCATACGAAAATGTTACTCGATCATTTGGCATTATTGACTCCTATTTCTGTGTACGTTTAACGCTAGAAGCAGTCAAAATGACACATTCGTAATTTCTAATAAAAATCATAAAAGATTTACTCGACTGAATTTTGGAAAAACCGTAATTTTCCTATAAGAGAATGAATAAATACTTATTTCCATTGCATTGTACATTTTTTCACGTATCTATCGTTTTAATTTCATCGCTGCAAATAAATACACTATAATTGCCGGTAGTTCTAGTGTTGATATAATAACACGCAAATTATTAATAGAAAATTAGAAGCAAAGAAATCGTTACAACCGTTAGAATTTGTAAAATTAAGGAAAAATTCTAGAAAAATTAAATACCGAATGAATTGCAACCACGATATAATCGACTGTTTGAATGCACTTCTCATAATTTTCTCATCATTTACGGACAAAATGGATATTACACTTTTTGTTCCTAAGAATGTGTAAAAATATTTGGAAAGAATTTGTCTTTCACGACCAAGGCAAAAAATCGATGATTTTTAACATTGTCCTTTGTGAAATCGGTCATTCCGTGTGAAACAATGTTACAGTATGACAACCTCTCTATTCTGTATAAAGTCAGTTCGACTACACGCGTAGGTGGAAGTCGTACAGTATCGGTCTGTTACACATTAACCCGGTACCCGTATAGAATACGTCGAAACGAAGCCTCCCAAATGTATTCAAGACTGACATTTCCATCTACAAATATCTTTCCGTACCGCCTCACCCTCCGGGTTCTCGTTGACGCCGTGTTCCACGACGTTTCCTGTTAAATGGCAGCAACTCCGAGTAATTACCAATCAAGGTGTCGGTTACCAGCTCAAAGGGTTAACTTAATCATTAACAGAACCGAAGATTTGCGTCCCCCGGGAAGTGGCTGGTTGAAATTGCCTTTAGTAACTGCTATAGCCGCGCTACCTCTGACCGGAATTTACCCAATTTGGAGACCATAAAACGAGTTCATAACCGTAAAGTTCGAACCAGGAACGAAATTAGAACGACCGTTGCCGTTTGACCAATCGCGATCTCAGATGTCGAACTTTCGACTTCCGTTTCTACTTTCTAATACGGGCACTCGATCCAAAATATAGAACCAAATGAAGTTAAAAAATTGTTCGCTGATACCAGTATCAAAAACGCCCACGATTTCGGACTAATAAATGGCAAGATCGCTAGAACGCTTTCTTCAAAAATGGATCAGTTAAAATCAAATACTTTTCCATTAACTGAATAGTTGCGCGAGTCATAATGTCAAAATAAGTTTAGTTTGATAAAGCTTGGCACAGAAGCTTTTCCACGTCATACTACGAAACATTTTTTGTCAAAATCCAAAACGAAGTTTCAGACATTCGTAATATTTAAGTGGGAGTTCTATAGGGCAGTGACATTAGCCAGATTTTTACACAATAGTTGGTTTAACTTGTGGTTATCTAACTTCGAACCAAATGTACTTGAAGAGGACCTAACGATACAAGTCGAAACGTTAATTTTAAATCAATTTTTGTGTAATATATTTATATATTTACATTCAGTCGTTCAGCGGATAAAAACAAATTTTTATTGTACCTGACGCATAATCAAGTACTTTTAGTGTGTCAGTGTTATTCAATCATTTTTCCTCTCCGAACGAGAAAGAAATACGTTCGAAAGAAAGTTTCTCCTGACTTTACAATTAAGCACGTTTTACCAGCTTTAAATAGATAAATACCATTTGATAATACTTTTTAATAATCAAGATGTACAAAACTTTACGCATTTGTGATTACTCGGTCGTTTTATGTACTATTACCTAATGGTAGGTGAAATAAAAACTGTTTCCTAGTAAAAATAAGGAGCCTAAGCATACCTTTTGGAATTCTAAAGGCAGAAAGTGCGACGAAGCTGTACGCGTGCAAAACATGGGGAAATTCTACTTCAAAGGGGTAACGCCCTTTTGCCAGGGTGTACGTCGAAGAAATTGTTTCAGTGCTACGCGTCTGGTTTCTCCATGTTTTGACGTTTCAGGGTTTGAATAAGTCTTCCTCAATTATTATGCCGTTACAATATGCTCTGCTCGAGGTAATCGAACCAAACGAACGATACTCTATTCTATAACCAAATTAATAATTTTGTAAAAATCGAAACGGTGGATTTCTTGCACTGTCATACAATTGGGAACTCATGGAATTCCGTGGCACTGGCATTTCTTTTTCTTAAAAAATATCAAACAAATAAATATACAGGGTGTTCGTCCACGCCTGGGAAAAATTTTAATGGGAGATTCTAGACCCCAAAATAAGACGAAAATCAAGAATATCAATTTCTTCACTAAGGCTTTGTTAGAAAGTTATTAAAAATTAAGTTGAAAAATTTCAAATCGTTCTGGAAAAATTATTCTTGATCGTGGGGGTTAGTTACTATTATTTTTGGTCAATAGACATACCCCCGAAATCCTAGCCACTTTCGAGAAAAAAATTCGAGTAGCTACTGAAATTCTTAGACAAAATTAAAAAATTTCAAATTATACTAAAAAAATTATATCTAGTTACAGCGGCCAATTACAAGCATTTTTGGTGAATAGACATACCCCTGAAATCTTACCCACTTTCGAGACAAAAATTCATTATCGAAAATATAATCTGAGGCCTAAAATGGTTCCCCATGTGAATCTTTGAAACATCATAACTCTCGAACGGATTGAACGATTTTAATGTTTCAAAATGCAAACAACGCGTATTTTATTGAGGAATACGTGGAAATCGGGAAAATATTTGAAAAATTGATCCTTGACACCGTAAAGTGAGAAAAACCCTCTAAAACTGGTTCAATTTTCAAACAGCCATAACTCCTACAATAGTGAATATATTTAAATGAAACTTTTTTCTGAAGTAGAGTTCATGGGTATCTACATAAAAGTATTAGGCAACTTTTTTATAGGACGTCAAACAGAATTACTAAAAATGAAAAACAAATTCTTAAGAGAAATCGACAAGGGGGTGGGTGGTGGCTTTCGATGAAAAAAAAAATTTCAAATCATTCTGGAAAAATTATTTTCGGTTGCGGGGGTCAATTACAATCATTTTTGGTCATTAGACATACCCTCGAAATCCTACCTATTTTTGAGAAAAAAATTCGAGAATGTGTGAAATTTTTTGACAAAAAAAAATTTCAAATCGTTCTATAAAAATTATTTTCGGTTGCGGGGCTCAGTTAGAATTATTTTTGGTTAACAGACATGTCCTCGAATTCCTGCGCATTTTCGAGAAAAAAATTCAGTACGGGCGGAACTTTAAACGTTAATAACATTTTAACGAAGCCTCCATCAACAAATTGGTATTCCTGATTTTCGTCCTATTTTGGCCTCTAGAATCTCCCATTAAAATTTTTCCCAGGAATGGCTGTACACCCTGTGTACGTATATTTTTGCGCACATATTGTCACTTGAAATCATAAGTACATATGTGCATGTAACTATATAGATTTATATATTGTGAATAAAAGTTTACATGTATATAAAATGGAAACTTAAAATATGTGTATGTTTACATACAACAAATAATAATTGTACATATTAAATGTATTACGCCTAACGTGACTGCAAAATTAGTTGATAGTATACAAAAATAATTGACAACGCTACTTAAAGAATAAGATATTTATTTTTGTTGCAATAGTAAGTTGCACAATTTCAAACGCATCTATAACATGAAAGTTTACTTACGAAGAATCGAATGAAAATTATAACCCATCGGAGTAACGAACAAAACGTCTATAAAGACTTTTTTGACCGAGTATAAATAATTTTCAAAGAACTTTAGGATTGCTCGTGACTAATGCGTGGATTTTTATTTCAGCGACGGTAGTGATTTGTTGGACGACGCGGGAGATGATGCCAAATCTGTTCGCACAAACGACGACAGTAAAAAGTAAGTAAAACTTTGTAATAATTATTAGAGAACAGGTTATAGGTATGTATAGTCAGTAAAAAAATCTACACACTAAGGGTGTACACGTTTTTTGGAATAAATTCGTAAAATTCTGTACGTTTTATTGTAAACATATAGAATTCAAGCATGTCCACTCTGTTCGATGTTTGAAATAAAAATGATCTTTTGGGCGACACTTGGTCAACATTCAAAAATCAGCACACACCGACAAGCCATAATTTTACAACTTATTTTAAGTATACTTCGCGTAAACCTGCACTTGTGTATTAATTTTTAAAATCACAATTATCAGGTTAAAAATGTAATTATCATCATTGATAACCAATGTTATTTTTATTGGTTTTTCAGATATGTATGTATTGGAAACATTATAAATGACATTTCAAATAAATCTTAAAGAGATTTAAATTTTACATAAAAAGAGTTAAATAAACATTTTCTGTATCTTTCCTAATATTTGTTTGGTTTCTCTAGAATCATCCTCTAAAATATTTTCCATCGAACCCTGTATAGCGATGGAAATAATTTTTGTACACTTTAGTATGCTTACGATGTACAGCGTGTTTCAAAACAATCGAACTAAACGACATACGCTAATTTCTCGTGTGAAGAGAAATCAAACAGTCGTTTACCATTTTGCAATCTTCGCTTATGAGATATAAACAATTAAACGTTTCCAACACGATTAACTGATTAAGGCATAAATAACAGTCAGCTGACGGTGATTTTAATAGTCATCAACTAAATGAAATATAAACACACGTACTTACATTCAACCCATAAAAATTAGGAGTGGAGCACTCGAGACTCAAAAATTTCCAGTTCTCGAAACTCGAGACTTCGCTATTTTTACGATACGAAACTCTTGACACGTTAATAATAATTTATATAAATACCTTATCAGAATATCGTGTCAAAATGCATTTATTTACCGATCCATTACAATCGTTCATATTAAAAAAACTGAAATATAAAATTTTAAACTTTTGGTAAGTTAAAAAAATATATATGTTTGTATATTCGATTTTCATCTAATTATATTTTATATAATGTACTATTTATTTTTAAAACGTTTCTAAGTTTGATAAATTAACAGAAATATCGAAAGATTACCGAAGCTCCGGTGTTATTCATAATATTGCAATTTATAGAGTGTCTGCAGACTTTACGACTTACGGTAAATGGGGCATTTGTAATTAGCCTTTTCGTTGTAAATAGTATTTAAGTCGTTAAATAATTATAAACGTTTCGTTCCAACGCAGTAAGAAACCGCAATACGCCTTAAAGCTCAATCTTGGTCAGCGGTTATGTAGTATTATGTCAGGTATTGCCAAGGTAGGTAAGTATCACCTTGACCTACCTTGGTTCTTTGCTCTGGCTTCACCAACGGCGTCACTAATCCAGTCTGTGGTAGCGTGATTACAGACACGATTGTAAAAAAAGTCAGCGCATTCAACTTATGCGCATATTCTAAGAATTACTTTGTTTTCCTGATTAGGAGCCATTCATAAATTACGTCACGTTCTTGAAAGTGGGAGATCAAAGAAACGTGGCAATTCGTGGCATAGGGGTCAAGGGTCAAATCAAATGCAACGCAACGCCGCACAGTGGGGCCATTGCATGCCAAATGCGGCAAAAAGTGGTTTTATACAAATATACCCACGATGAAATAATGATTCACTAATAGTTAATGGGACACATGGGCCATGATTTAGTGTGATTTTTTTTATCATTTGTCGATTTTTGATACGACTACATGATTTTGAAACGTTCAATCTTAAAATCATCCAAAATTATAATCATCGTTTATTGTTGCTTTGATTCTTCAAAGTAAATGATGAGTAATTGAATTAAATGTACTTAGTACGTATTTAAATTACGAATGAAGAATCAGATGAAGAATCATTCGTAGATTCATAAATTCTTTCGTTTTCTCTTCGTAAAGGTCGTGTCGTCTATTCGCTAATTGCCATCTTCTCCTGAAACGGGACTTCAAAGTTGCAATTTTTGTTTTCAAAATTTTCTGGTACTCCACAGAATAATTATCCTGGCTCATTAAGGACGACTCTAAAAATTCTAGTTTATTTTCAAAATCATGATTTCGATGCTGTGTCATGATGTTATAAAACTGCATCATTAAAAACACACGTACTCCAGATGAACCTTAGGATTTAAAAAAAAATGTCACTCTATTAAAATGAAACTTTTGCTACGAAAACTGTATTAACAAACTATATAGAAGATGAAGAAAAATGGCGAAATTCAAATATATATATCTGTACCTACCTACTTCAACTGGAAATTCCATTATTTTAACACTAAATATTTCACTCGCAACATACAAGTTAGGAACGTCAAACAACAAATGCTCCAAATTCGTGATCATTTTATGCTTTTATAACATTCGAAGCAAAAACAATGAAATGTATGCATTGTTTCCTAGTTTTGATGTATTTTTGAGAATCGTAACAATACTCGCAATCGCCGACGCTCTCACGTGCCGAAACAGTTGATCATCTTTATATTTTTCGCAGTAGCAGCTAGCAGCAGCTAATTTTTTTAAAAAAAAAAAAGGTAAGGCTTCACTCTACAAAAAGCAACTAAAATGAACACTGAATCACACTGCATTCATAATTAAAAAATAAAATGAAAACTGAACATGTTCAATTAGTTATAACTCAAAAAATGTTGGAGATATAAAAGTGTACTTTGGTGTAATTTAAATACGTACTAAGTACATTTAATTCAATTACTCATCATTTACTTTGAAGAATCAAAGGAACAATAAACGATGATTATAATTTTGGATGATTTTAAGATTGAACGTTTCAAAATCATGTAGTCGTATCAAAAATCGACAAATGATAAAAAAAATCACACTAAATCATGGCCCATGTGTCCCATTAACTATTACTGAATCATTATTTCATCGTGGGTATATTTGTATAAAACCACTTTTTGCCGCGTTTGGCATGCAATGGTCCCACTGTGCGCCGTCGTCAAATTTCCTTTGACATCTTTTAACTCAATTATGTTAAAAGTTTAGTAGGATTTAAGTAACCAACGTTTCAAGAATAATAATTTTCTTTCCAATTACTTTTTTCATATTTACATACGTGTTGTTTCTAAACTTGACAGTACGCGACAGGGTGGAACGGGAGAATAAAAAAACCAGGTAAATATAACGTGATGTAATTTGCGAACGGTCCCCCGCGATAAACAATAAAATAAAACTGTTTCTTTGCTAAATTCATATCGAATAAGCATTTTATGTGTTCAGAAAACACTTCGATATTGTTACTCTTCGTTGCAAACAGGGATACAAAAAGAAACAGAAATTATTGAAACGTACGAAAATCAAAGTCCCTAGCATTTTGTACTGTATTTATTAACACAATAAAATAACTATATAGAACAAGGTTGAAAAGTGATGTTCAGCATATGAGGCTATATTAGAACTTGACTTTTGCAAATAGCTTTCATTTCTTACTATTTTCTACTTCTAAATGTAAGATTAATAACACATTGTTAGTGAGGAATGATGATATCGACAAGTAAGTTTCTCGACGCTGTGCTTATTCTCGGACAGTGTAACAACGATTTGCATGCAACCTCAAGATTAAATGCTGATACGTATCCTGATCGACACGCACTGTCTGCAACCATTGCAATTTGTTTCAACCTGACGACCGTACATTTGTATATGACACGCCCCATTATTTTAAAAAATTACATTTCTTTTTTACCGAGCATGCTTGGTAACGCTGGTTTTTCTTCATTGTTTCAGCGACTTTATTGCTGTACACTTGTTTATTTCTAACTCGAGTCTCTCATATTCCACCACACAGGTACCGTGTCTGCTATGTGAAACATATTAATTTTTAATCTTATTACTATTTCACATTTATTCATCCCTTTTTCCAATGTTTTTAAATATATTATAACATTGCATTTATTGTATATTGGGTACTGTTCGTCATAGAATAAAAACTACGAATATGAAAATGAAAATGCATCTGATAACAAATATCAGTCTTCGCATAATAAAAAAAGAAAAGAAGAATAAGGTAATTACTTGTCGATAAACCAGTAATAGAAAATGTCGAAACACTACTAGTCTGTTGGAATTTATTATTTGGTGACAAACTGATAAATACAAATAAAAGCAAAATTCTATGATAATAACTGCAAGTATATTATTACAGAAACAATGAAATACAAATTAAAGACTGTTTCTGGCTTATTTCATTTCACAAAAATTTACTGTTCAAATGGACAAAAAGGAGCTGTGTGGACTATCAATGAAACACTATGTCTCTGCAATAGTATACATTAATTTTAAGTTGTTTAAATTTTGATGATATCGAATCAAGAAATAAATAAAGAATTTTAGAAAAGCTGACCATTGTTAGATTTTTGTAAAAATTGTCAAATATTGTCATTTTTTTTTTCATCTTCTGAACATCATACTATTGCCTCTTTTGGCCGATAAAACAGTTTACTGTAGTTTAGAATGATTATATTTTCTAAGAATGTACGTGTAAAGTGGACTACAATCATCAAGGAAGGTATTATGTATCGATGAACATTATTTTATTGAGTAATTGCGTCGGAATCCTTGACATCGGTGAAAAAAACGATCGATTTGGCGCGAAATGCTCCGACAGTAACGTATGAATTGACCCGCTTAGGTAACCGCGTTGAGAACGTGTACAGGAAATAATTACGACATGGACACAACTTAATATGGATGTAAAATTATAATAATATGTGGACGTTGACACGCACTCGCGTATTCGCAGGATACCAGGATATGTGTGGATTTCTCAAATTAATAAAGTGACGCGCGACCTGTTTGTAAATCGAAACCAGTTTCTCGCGACAGCGACTTCCGTCGTTCAATATCGCCGCTGCGGACTATGAATGCGAATTCTTAGAAGGCAAATCAACGACGTTCCGCTCACAAAAGCGTCATTTATTAGCTGAATCGCCATTTATAATTGATTCACAACGACTCTGCTGCTGACTGCGTCGCTGTAGAACTTGACAGTAGACGCAAAAGATAAAACAAGAGCCATAAACTTCGACGCATCAACGACCCCTTCTGAAACATTTTCGTCATTATTCCTTTTGAAGCATCGACAAATCTCGTAGTATGTTTTGGAGTTCTCAGTTTCAACATTAACAATGGAAAGACTGAAATTTAGCATATGTATACCTATATTGCCCAAAAGCAGTCAAAATGACTGTATTGTGAAAGAATAACTAATGTGTAAAGAAATTTGTTTAAAATTAATTTTTAATATTAGGTTTTAATATTATGAATTTAGGGCGCAAAAGAAATAAAATAAACAACTTGTTAGAACTTGTTGTTTTTCTTACGACTGTTTTTTAAGAATATGTAGTTTTTCACATACAATTGAAAATATTTAGAGGGTTTGAAATTCGTTGGATGTCTGTAAAATTGAATTATATTGGTGATTTATTTTTTTTCTTACGTTTTTTTTAAAAATATTCAGTTTTCCATTTAATGTGTTGGTGTTACATTAACGTTCTCTTTACACGATGGTTTACAGACAGAATCATAGCGAGATCGAGAAGAGAAGGAGGGACAAAATGAACACCTACATCACGGAGCTTTCAGCGATGATACCAATGTGCCATGCGATGTCACGCAAACTCGACAAGTTGACTGTATTGAGGATGGCAGTACAACACTTGAAGACCATCCTAGGTGCTGTTACCTCATACACGGAAGGTCACTATAAGCCAGCATTTCTCAGTGATCAGGAGCTCAAGACGCTCATACTTCAAGTAAGTACGGTGAGAAACGTTGATAATGTATCATGACAGCTTCCCTGTTGTATTCGAATAATAAAAGTGCCCTTTCGTCCAGATAATGATGGCGAACTCGTCGATAAGACTGACCCAGGAAACCTAGATTTTGACCGACATTTTAGAATCATCGTCGAATGTTTGCTGTCTAGTAAATAGACACGAATCAGGAAGTATGTTTTTCGATGAAAAAAATGCAACAAACTTGGTTAATAAACAGATACGACTTCCTCGTCGATGATCGATGTTGAAATGTCACCCGGGGGAATAGGAATGATGTAACACGCATAGAGTCGAGGTTGATAGTCTTATTATGACGTTCGATATAGGCGAATACGCGAGTATCGTTGAAAGTTTCAAAGCGACCGATTCCAACGATGAGATTATGCGTCATTACCGATTCCGTATTCGGAAAACCAGATAACAGATACGACCGTGCATACCATTCGGGTAAGACTTCCTGGTAATTCAGAATCGCTTGCGTAATACGAGGCTCGGAGTCGAGCACGGTGAACCGACGCGGGATCGAAACACTGGCGGTTAGAATCAGGAAAAAAAAGAAGTTTTCTTCTCGCTTGGCACGCTGAATATGAAGCGATCAATTTAGCCTGCAGTTAAATTTGGATTTCCTCCATGCGTCTAGTAAATCTCACGTACGGAACGTTTCCCCTTTCGGTTTTCTCCGAGCTCTCCCATGCGTTTGCGCTCGCGATCGCATCGAACGCAGATCCATGAATTCGCTAATTGGGTGCAAAAGCGAGAGAAAAGTTTTTACCTCGCTTGTAAAAGGCCGTCCCCGTATCTTTTGCAATCCTTCCGCGCGGAGACTGACTCTGTCTAACAGCCGCGGCTAACCTTTCTCCAGCGTGCTACACATTTTTCACAGAGATAGGTCTCGTGACGGGTGAAAGAGAAGGGTTCGAAGCATGTTGATCTGCAATTAGACGCCGGCGCGATGTTGATTATACGCCAATTCGTAGTACTTGGCTCGCTTGCACCTACGGTTATCGATTATAGAAAGTTTTAATGTCGCGAAGTACCGATCGTTTACGAACGATTCTCAACGAAAAAGATGATCTACGGGGTGCTCAAGACGTAACAAGTAGAAAGCAGACAGCCGGTTATGCAGCCTGCAACGCAACAGTCTAGCCGGCGATATTTCCTATAGTTGATACCTGACGGAGGAGAGATTCTGACGCTACAAACATATACAGGGGAGAATCAGTAGTCACTTGAATTACTTGAAAACCTTTGTACGAAAAAATCCTTCGAACTATTACAATTTGCTTCTTCCACGTTGCTTTCTTATCGAGATACATCGCGTTGAGTTTTTTAATTGCACACCGTTTTACTTTGCCATTGGAAAGAGTAAGAGACCTTTTGCGGTCATACGGTAGCGTGCAACCGGGAACAAGCAGTTCACATAACCGGGCAGGTTCATGTAATAGGAGCCCACCGATTATCCCTGTTACTTTTAACTTTCCGTTTGAATGATTGGAGTTCTTGTTCGGATAAGTGGATTTAATCATACTTGTAACTAATTCTTTAGACGACAGCAATATTTATGAACTTGGAAATTACTTGAAAAGACAAGTGCTATATCCTTTAAATCCTTCGAATATTCTAAATTATTATTGAGGCTGCGCTTAACTGTATTTAATGATTAGAGGAGGATACTTTGTTTTTGTTACATGATAATAGTTTCATCATTTTAGTGCGTTACTTATCAAGAATCGGATTAACCAAGTTTCCAATTAAAAATTACCTGATTGCAAAAAATGACTGTAACATAGGACCCATGTTAAATATTTAGAAGGCTACCATTGCTGTTTTGCTCCTCGTCTATCACTGAAGCAGATACCACGTGTTATGAAACACTTTGTGCATTGTCAGCATTCTGCAATCAAGGCTGCTATCGTCTTGGAACCTTGCAGTTTTTCAAAGATCGCTAGATTTGTTCCACCGTGCACACGTTGAATTATATCAGAGACTGTCATAGAATCGAGTTCATCTTGTGATAGGATCGCAAGGGTTCTGTTGTCTCACCACAAGATCACTAAAGTTGCATTAGTTTAGGTTGAGCACTGAGAGGTATACAATTACGTCAGATTAACTCTTCGCTGCACAATAATCTGAAAAGCGGCAATTTGTGTCGAAGAGCACATCTTCCAACCTCCACACCATAAATCTTTCTCCCTGTCGAACGAGCACCATTCAAAATTTAATCAAATTTACTAAAACTTAAAACATTAGGTCTTTCAGACAACTCTATAATTACATATAATAGTTCAAAAACAAACTTATGAAATTAGAACTACAATTAAGTATTTGAATTATTCGTTAAGAGTCTCGGAATCTAAAGTTCTATATTTCCATGTGCGTGATAACATATGTATATTTAATTGTGATATAAGAATGTTTAAATCAGTATACGGAGAATGTAAAATTAAAGAGTTTTGGAAACATGTTTAAAAATGTTAGCATTTAAGGTCGAATCATTTTAGGTTGAAATTAAAAAATTTCAAATCGTTTTGAAATATTTATTTTTGGTTACAGGGGCTAATTTCAATTATTATTAGTAACTACACAAACCCCCGAAGTACTACGTATTTCTGAGAAAAAAATTCATTACTGAAAATATAATTTGTGACCAGAAATGTTTCTAGGTTGGAAAAAATTTTAATGGGAGATTCTAGAGGCCAAAATAAGACGAAAATCAAGAATACTAATTTGTTGATGGCGGCTTCATTAAAAAGTTATTAACATTTAAAGTTCCACCCGCACTGAATTTTTTTCTATAAAGTGGGTAGGATTTCGGGGGTATGTATATTCACCAAAAATGCTTGTAATTGACCCCTGTAAGTAAATATAATTTTTTTAGTATGATTCGAAATTTGTTAATTTCGTCTAAAAATTTTAGTACCTATTCGAATTTTTTTCTTGAAAGTGGGTAGGATTTCAGGGGTACGTCTAATGACAATAAATTATTGTAATTAACCCTCGCAACGGAAAATAATTTTTTCAGAATGATTTGAAATTTTTTTTTCAGACACCTACCTCCTTGTTGATTTTTCTTAAAAATTCGTTTCTGATTTTTAGTAATTTTGTTTGACGCCCTATAGAAAAGTAGTCTAATACTTTTTTGTAGGTACCCGTGAAGTCTACTCCAGAAAAAAGTTTCATTGAAATATATTCACTATTGTAGGAGTTATAGCTGCTTGAAAATTGTACCATTTTCATGGGGGTTTTCTCACTTTACGGAGTCAATGAACAACTTTTTCAATAGTGTTAGAATTTGTACATATTCTTCACCAAAATACGCGCTGTTAGCTGTTTGAAACATTAAAATCCTCCAATCCGTTCAGAAGTTATGACGTTTTAAAGATACGCAAGAAAGTTTGGAGTGACATTTCTGGCCTGAAATTATATGTTCGGTCAGGAATTTTTTTCTCGAAAATGGTTATGATTTCGGGGGTATGTATATTCACCAAAAATGCTTGTAATTGATCCCTGTAAGTAAATATAATTTTTTTAGTATGATTCGAAATTTGTTAATTTCGTCTAAAAATTTTAGTACCTATTTGAATTTTTTTCTTGAAAGTGGTTAGGATTTCGGGGGTATGTATATTCATAAAAAATTATTGTAATTGAGACCCGCAATCAAAAATAATTTCTCAGAATAATTTGAAATTTTTTAATAACTTCTTAACGAAGCCTCCATCAACAAATTAATATTCTTAATTTTCGTCTTATTTTGGCCTCTAGAATCTTTCATTAAAAATTTCCCCAGAGGTGGGCGAACACCCTATATATAAAAAATCATAATTCCTGAACGTATCGGAGGATTTTAATGTTTCAAGATGCAACTAATTCGCATTTTGGTAAAGAATATTCAGAAATTCTAAAAATATTGGAGAAATTGTTCCTTAACTCCATAAAGTGAAAAAACACCATAAAAATGGTTCTATTTTCAAACGACCAGAACTACTACAATAGTGAATGTATTTCATTGGTCTTCACTGGAACCCAGACCTTGATGTCAGCCTTATTATTGACCATCTATGACCATTATCCAATTAGTGTTGACCACCGGATAATCACTGACCTATTAAAACCATCAAGTTGAAAATAAAAACCTTCTGACAAGGATCCTATAAGCTGAAGCTAAGAAGCTGCTATAATTTTTACAATTGTTTGAATTTCAAAACAATCGTACGTCAGCCAATAGAGAATGTTTCTGGGAATATCTGTAATAAATGTCGTTATTAACAAACAGACATTTAACAAAAATTGTTTTCCAATGTTCAAAGAACGATTTATCCATGATAAACTGGTCATTTAGACTGAATGCACGCTTTTCTGTAAAAAATTCATAAAAATACCGCTCGTTTTAGGCCTGCCAAGGTGATGTAACCCCTTAAGCGGTAGAATTTCGTTGACATGAAAAGTGTGAAAGGTGGAACACAGGTCGCAGGTAACATTGCCGGAAAAACTTTCCATACAGGCACTCTGAATCGAAACCTCAGACTGTTTACTTCGAGGGTTCAAAGAAATTTTTAAAATGTCCGATCGACGTGGACGACCAAGTCGCCATATTTCGTCATTTTTTCTACGGTATGCATGGTACCGTAACATCGATAAGTTCTTTTCGCTTTAGAAAAGAGTAGCAACACGCGTAGCAAAGGACGTGACATAGCACGAGTCGGTGCTCGAATAGGATTGGCTAAGAGGTAGCAGAGAAATCGACAACATCGACACTGAAATTGTCTACCTCTCAGGGCTCAACCTAAAGTAATTCTAGGATAACAACTATACGTTTTGCAACGATTGTAACGGGATCGTTTAGAGGCGTGCAGAGGTACAGATCGTGGAGAAACAAACGACGTGTCTGGGGCACGTTTCTTGCTGTTCGAAGGTTTAAGAATGAGTCTCGTGAAACGGAATGGCCAGAGTTCCTTTTCACTCTAGATTCCGTCACG